GACTCATGCTACATCGAGCGGGTCACAGACTCTCCAGCCCATCTCCCCCGGAAACTACAAAATGCCTGCAAAAGAACAGCCCGAAACCTCCCTGGCTCTCAGTAGCTTTCCTAAAGGGCTGGGAGGGTTCTTAAGCCCCAGCCCCCAGCTTCTGCACCCCAGGCACTGGCCAAGGGCTCCGTGACTCCCTGACTGGTGTGTCCATTTGGAGTCCAGGCCACTGTCCATCTGACGACCTGCCATCTGGAGCCATCTGCTCACGACGTCACTCACGTTAAGCTGCTTACTCGGCCCCCTATTTGTGGGATTCCAAGCCTGGTTCAGTCATCTGAAAACCACAGGCTGAGCTCAGGCAAGGGAAAAAAAAGGGCAGAGTCTAGGAGCAGCTGCAGTAGAGGAAAGAGCCATGGCCGGCAGCCCCTCACCCCGACTGTGGCCTCCGGGAGGCAAGGGCAATGTTTCTGACCCTCCTGGTGCTTTTCACAGAAGCCAGTGCCATTTTTAAAAAAACATTTATTGTATTTATTTATGCATACAAGAACTGGGGTACAGGCCAGAGGTGGGGGGGTGGTGAGAGGATTCACCAGAGACAGAGTGGGGAACAGAACAGGTGGATTGACTGAAATACACTGCCGAGGGGAGCAGCGGGGGAGACAGGAGAGGTCTGCTGAGCCACATGGGTCACCTCTCTGGGCGGGGATCGAACTCAGGCCACAGTGGCTGGACATAGCTTGATAGCACTGACACTTAACCCCTGTGCCACCAGGGAGGCCCTGGCAGTGCCACATTAAAGCAGATCAGGGCTGGGCTTAAGTCAGCAAGGTAAAGTAGCAAGAAGCAGTGAGCCCCGGCAAGCACCCCCGACCCTGGGCTCAGATGTAGTTTCAGGAGAAAGGCGCGGGCCTGGAGCCACACTCCTGAGCCTCCAGCCTGTCTCAGCCATCTACCTGCGACATGGTCTGCAGCAATTTGTAAACTCTTTCAGAGACACAGGTTTCTTGTCTTTAAGAGTGGACGAAACGCACTTTTTTTAATCAATTCAATGAATTAATTTAATTCATCTTTAAATGAATTAATGGGATAATGTACATATACAACATGTATACCCCAATGCCTGGCACCACCTGGCACTCAAAGATGCTGGTCCTTTCTCCTTTCTCCCAATTCTAGCCACAACTGCTTTGCTACATAGCTCTGGACAAGCTGGACTTGCGAATCTACAAATCCACTTTGCAGATCTACAGTCTGCGTAAACAATCACAGCGTGGCTCTGTGGTCAAGGAGTTCTCACTCACTCATCGCCAACGTATCTCCACGGCACTGCCTACTTTAAGCTAGGAGAAGGGGAACCTCCAGTAGACCCCAGACCAGTCAAAGCATCCCAGGGCTCCCTTCCTTCCTGCCTGCCCTGTCTGTTTAACCAAAACACTTCACATTCATTCCAGCCTTTTCCCCAACACCCTGTGACCTGTGACACCTGTAATAGCAGGGACCCAAGGAGGGAGCTGGCTCAGTCATTCAGCCACCTCGGTCCGGCTGCTGATACTCCAAGGACAGCACATCCTCAGTTTCCTGTCTGATGTGTCAAGGGCATGGCTGGGGATCGAGCGCGGGGACCACAACAGAGGCAGGGAGTCGCATCTGTTCCCACCCCCATCTTCCAGTTCTCGGCATTTACATCCAACACAGACACCAGGCTGGGTCCAACGACCACTGGGCAGGCTTCTGCAGGCGCAGGAGATGGGAAAACACAGGGCCTGGAGGAGGGGAGGCGGGAAGAGACAGGGGAAGGCTGTTTCCTGCGGTATAAGATGCACCATTTGTCTAGAAGTCTGTGCAAAGAGCTGGCACACATGCCTACAGCGGAGGCACCGTTGGCTCCAGAGAAGGCTTTGTGTGTTTTGCCCTGATAAGCGCAGGCACCTGCACTCACAAGGGCCTTCCTCCGAGTCTTCTTATTAGAAACAGAAACCTGGAGGGTGTCTTGCTGTCTCCAACCCAACAGCCCAGCTTAGTAGAAAGGTAGGTTTAGGCAGAGGGACTTAGGAGTGGGTGTGATTAACCAATGAATCCCCTGGGGAAACTGAAGGCCTGGAAAAGCCAGGTGCTTTCCTGCTCTGAGGGCCCAGCGCCTGGGAGGGGAGCTGGGAGCTGCAGCAGCCAGGGGGGCAGAGGCTGATCTTCAGGCAGGAAGGTGCCCCCTGCTAGGGCGGAGAAGGGGGGCGATGGAAGGAGTGTGCTGGGGAGCAGACGCCTGGGGCAGCTCCAGATGGCAGGGGCCTGGGAACAAAAGGAAGAGAGCCAGAGAAGGGGGCAGAGTGGGCTTGCTCCTAGGGGGCTTCTGGAAAAGAAAAATCAGGTTCACACCTGGAACCTGGCCAGAAGCTCGCTCAGAAACAGCCATGCAGTGCTTCCGGGGACTGCAGCGAGCCTCGCCGAAACACACAGGAGCCCCAGCACAAGGGGTCAGCAGGAGTCCAGGCTCCCACACGCAGGGGGATTTGAATTAGGGAGCTGGCCTCTTCCTTAAATACTGCCCTTAACTTGTCTGCATTTCTGTCATCTGTAAAACGTGGGCAATAATGGGCCCGACTGCACAGGTGGCTGTGGGGACGCGATGGGAGATGCAGGCTGAGCACAGCCCTTGGCTGGCCAGCACTCAGGCAACTGTTGCAATGACGTAATGACGGAGGTGGTTATCGCCATCAAAAGACCCCAGCTATGCCCTCAATAGCCACATGTCGCATATTTGGCGTCCATTTTTCTTTCTTTCCTTTTTTTAAGGTTTCTCTGTGTGTCTGGAAGCCCTCTTTACCCATGGTGATGTGGGGGGTGACTCAGACTGGAGGAGGCAGTGTGGTGTCCCGACAAGAAAAACAGCCACAGTTCAAGACACATAAGCACGGACTCTGCTGCCAAGAAGGGGCAGTAGTTCTCAGAGCCGCAGGTCATGCCCTGGGCACACGGAAAGGATGACACCTGTCTTGTTCACATCCGGAAAGCCACATGAAAACATGAATATAAACGGACACACTCTGAAAATCAAGCCCTGAGCCCAAGCGAGGTTGTGCTGGATAGCATGTCCGCAGGCACAGACTACGATGTTTGCTCTGTAGTGGGTAGGGGACAGCAGGAAGAGACTCGGCCGCAGCCAGGTGTCCCCTGGGCAGTGACGCTGTTATCATCAGAGAATCAAGCTCCTTGGGAGGACTGTGGAGGAAACTGGGGGCATAGGATGGAAAGCAGAGAGGGTACATGAAAAAGTGCCAAAAGTAAGGGTACAATGACAAAGCTGGGCCAACTCCTAATCCTGTCACCAACCTGGGGATCTGTCTCCATGCTGTTTTATGTTACCATTAAAGGAAGCTGGGACACTGGGCCTCCCTGGTGGTGCAGGGGTTAAAGACAGTGCTATCAAGCTATTGCTAGCCACTCTAGCATGAATTCAATCCCCAGCCGGCCAGGGAGCTGACCCACATGGTGCAGCAGACCTCTCCTGACTCCCCTCTGCTCCTCTCAGCAGTGTATTTCAGTCACTCTTTCTCTGATGAATGCTCTCACTGCCCGCACCTCTGGCTTACACCCCAGTTCTTGTATGCATAAATAAATAAATCTTTAAAAAAAAAAAAAAAGGAACATGGCACACTACAGAGTCCCCACAGCACAGCCGGTCTTTGAATAAAGTCAATTTCTTCAACATCATTATGTTATAACATTGGTGTGAAAACCCAGTCCTGGCCCACACTGAATGAAACCACTTCCTCCGAGGACCTGATCTGCCATACATCATTTCACCTAAAGCCACTGCTTCCAAGAACCAACCGACTCCATCAAGCGAGGACCTACTGTATGAGAGCAGGGTCAGTATGTTCAAGTTCAGTATTTAGCCCCAGTGATGGGGGTGCAGGGGGAGCCATTGAGCAGATGGATTTCTCAGGTGGTCCTTGAAGCCTGACGCTGTTCTAAGCCAGCTGTAGCCCAAAGAACCCACAGAGAATCTGTGTTGATGTGACCAGTGCATCTGAGCTCTGCTGATGTGCGCTAGAAGATGAACTGATCACCGACTGTCTGCCAGGCACTGTGCTGGGCTTGTTTGTTTAATCCTCAATCTCTGCAACAAGGTACTCATTATTATTCCCATTGTATAACCAGGAAAGCAAGGTCCAGAGCAGTTATTAACTTTTCTAAGGTCACAAAACAAGTGGAGCTGTTTTTTGGTCAGGATCCCAAATCCATGCAACAGGGTATTCTGCTCCACCTTCCAACCCCTTTTCTGGTCACGCGCCACCCCCCTGACTCTTTCTGGGAGGACAGCAGACCTCTGCAGAAGGAGGTGGCGGAGGAAAACACTGCAAGGAGGTAGATGCTCACATTCAGGCATGAGGCAACCTTTCTCTGCTTAGGCCTCCAGGTCAGACCCCCCACTGGGCAGCATCCAGGCTATCAGCCTGCCAGTTACTCCTCGGCTAAAGCCGGCCCTGACTTCTTGCATGTCCTCTCCTACCACCCCTGGTCTGAAACTAGAACAACAGCTGCTGGGAGCAGCAGGGAATTTTCATGCAGAATGGAACAATGCAGGCCGTGGACACAGGGTGTGGTTCCAGTGTTGTCCATCTGCCAGAGCCCAATATGCTCCACCCAAAGGAGGAGTCCTTGGACTGTCCCCCATATGCTAGGGCTGTCACTCAGGAGGCTCCCACATTGTGGAGGCCAGACGGGGGGGAACCCAGGTCACAAACAAGACTGTCTCCTCCCAATTTTTCAATTAAGGTGGACAGTCGGGACAATGGGAAGGCGGAACTGCTTCTGCTGGAGATGGGATCTTGCTTCCTCAGCACCAGACTCCTGGCAAAGGAGAACTGGGGCCTGGCTCTGTGGCTAACTCTGGGGAGAAGCCCCTCAGAAGATTCTGGGGGCTAAAGAACTTTCTCTCATGAAAGAGAAGGGGCAGCAAGACTCCCTCCCAGCCCCCCACGTACCCAGGTCCCAGCCCCACTCACCGCCTCTGCCTCATTCAGCCTCCTTCTTGCAACACCAGACAAAGCTCCCTTCCAGTCTGCAGCGGGAAGGAAAACTCCAGTGTCCCAAATTGCACATAAGTTAATCAACCTGTTTCAAAACAAGCACAAAGAAGCAGCCCAGGGTCACTCAAGAAAAGAAAAAAAAAAAGGCTTTGTGGTTTATAGCTTATTCATTCATTGGGGAAATTACATCTCTGTCCACACCCATCTGGAAAGTTTTACATAGCATAACAGCATCTTTGTTCAACGTTCTGAACACTGCAAGAACTGACGCAGATACCGCAAGATGCTTAAACATTTGGGGAGGGGGGATTATCTCTCTCATCAAAGATCATTACTAGCGCCCTGACACCATAATCTAATTGCTGATTCCCTATTCACCTAAAGGAGTTAAGCCATATCTCAAAGAATCTCTCCTTTACCCAAGGGAGAATTTACCCATAATTATCTCATTAATTTTCTTCACTTACTTAGGAGAATTACTATGTTTTTCTTCCCCATCTAGAGATAATCAAACTGAGTTCACCATAAATGAATCTATAAAACACTGGAAGGAGATTCAACTTTAGGGCCTGGGAATGTGGGTTTTAAATTCTAACTTGTGTCATTGAGGTTGGGTCACTTTCCTGCTTGTGTCTCAGTTTCCCCATCTGTAAAATGGGGTGAGGTACAGGAGAACGGGTCAGGACACTGGGCCAAGTTGGCATTTTACAAGTTCAAATCCCAACTCCAGTCCTTTTTTGGGAAACCATTCAGCCTTTCTCAGCACTGAGAACCTATTTCATTTTATCATTTGCTTTAACATTCAAATTGTGCCTACAGGGAATGATAAAATCCACTTTTGCAGAAGGGTATGTGGCAATATCTATCAAAATAAGCCTGCATTTACTCTTTGATCCAGCAATCCCAGTTCTAGGAATTTAAATGAAATATATCCTATATCCCCTTGCTCTGATCTCCAGGACTATTGTTAAGTGAAAAAAGCATGCTAAGAAAATGTGTGTTTTCTATGCTACCATTTACTTAAGAAATACCTGGAGGAATGCAAATATATATAAATATTTTACTTATATTTTTTGAAAGGTAATAAAAGCATAAAGTGAAATGTTAGAGGCCTGCAGGGAAGGGACAGCAGGAATGGGTGGGGACGGGGCTGGAAGCTGTATTTGAGTGTGACTTGTTTTATGGGTTTGCTTTGGAACATGAAAATGCCCAACATAATTATAAGACAATATTTTCAAAAGAAATCCTTGAAATGAAAATAAAATGCAACACATGTTTCTGTGTGTCCAACTGGTTGGCATAACTACACAGAGAATCAAAACAAAGTAATTTGACTTATATCCTTGGAGAGATTAAAAAAATAAACGTTCTCTCCCCCCAAAAAAAACCCATCTTAGCGGTTTTCAATAATCAGATTTTTTATCATAACATAGTATTTTATTATTATTATGAGATTTTTTTGTATCTTTATTGTGGGATAAATCAAACAAGTAATAATGCTGGTGTTAAGATTTTCTTCTTAAAAGGAGATATAAATATAAGGATGATGAGATAGGTAAAATTCTAGTGCCCTGATTGTGAACTGGGGAAAACAGAATGAAAGCCGTATGTTGTATCTTAAACACACACTCACAGACACAGACAGACAGAGAGACACACACACACACACACACACACACACACACACACACACACACACACCAACTTTGCTCACAGTAAAGCCCAGAAACAAGGACCATCCTAGGAATGAACACCCCCAGCAATCAGATTATGAACTCTAAGTACCAGCCCTCCCAAAGAAATCAGTCTTCCTCGGAGAAATGCCCCATACAGCAAATGTATAAGCTGACCCCAGAACATCTCTCACACCAGAAAAGCAAACGAGTATCAAATACAGTCAGGCCAGGACAACTCGGAAGTCAAGCAGGCAAGGTCTCCTTGGCCCAGCAGAACATCACCAAGGATCATAACTACACTTGATTAAAAGAAAAAATATGTTTAAATCTACAAATCCCTAATAATATCTTTCAACACCTTTGAGAACGTGGGGAAACACTTCGTTACTTTGAAAACTGTCCAGAAAGCAAGAGAAGGACTGGGTTGGTACAGCCTTGTGCTGGTACCTGTGGGGAGAGTGACAGGACATGCCAGGCTCATTATGTTATTCTCTCCTTGTTCCTGAAAAATTTTCAAAATAAAAATAAAATTTTAAATGGCAGTGTAGATGAAGAAATGAGAAATCATTAGCCTGCCAATTCTTGAAACTCTTTTGAGCTATAGTCATTTAATCCCAACAACAAAGGATATAGATATTATTCATATTTTCCATTGTGGGAAACAGGTGTGAAGAATCCATTGAGTCAGGACTCAAACCCACATATTCTTATCCCAAAGGCACACTATTTAACAGCTGCCTCTTCAGTATCCTCATTTGTACATTTAGGCGAATAAAAGTTTCCTTGCCTACCTCAGATTATTGAGTGACTGCAATGAGATAATGTATCAGAAAGTGCTTAGAAAACAACTCTTTGTACTAATATTTTACTATAATTTGAAAATTGGGGATCAGATCTGCCTTATGGGGTTGCTGTGAAGGTCATATGAAAGCTGTGATTTGAAAAGAGATGGACAGAGATAAAGACACAATAACCAGGGCCTCCCTGGTGGCGAAGGGGTTAAGTCTCAGCACCATGAAGCTATCACCAGCCACTGCAGCACGAGTTCCATTCCTGGCCAGGCTCTGACCCACATGGCACGGCAGACCTCTCCTGACTTGCCCGCTGCTCCCCTCAGCAGTTTATCTCAGTAGATCCGCCTGTTCTGCTCCCCACTCTGTCTCTGTAAAATCCTCTCACTGCCCCCCGACACACCTCTGGCCTATACCCCAGTTCTGGAAGCCATAAATAAAAAGAAAAGCTTAAAAAAAAAAAAAAAGGCACAACAACCACTACAGATGAGTGAGGTAACGATTACCACCAAGGCTTTTATCATTACTCACAGGACTTCGCATTAGACAAAGGAAACTCCAAATGTAGGGGACAGACTGTCCACCTGACCTGGGGCTGGGAAAGTTGCAGGAAGGACACTGAAGCTCTGGAGAGGAACAGGATCAAGGAGGACACCTGATATCCCACAGACTGAGTCACAGACAGGTGGGGATCATGGCCAAGTGGCTGGGGCCTCGGCGCAGCCTCCAGATGCCAGAAGGCCAGCCACGGGGTCCAGGCGGCAGGCGCCTGCTTGGTTCCTCTGAATGAGGTCTGGGTTGGAGGGGGATGGAGGGGGAGCTGCTCTCCAGTGACAAGTAGAAGTCACTGCAGTCAGATAGGTGATGGGAAGGAGGGTCTTAGGGTGCTCACAGCTCCCCAATACCCCTCTTGGTGTTCTCAGTAAATATTTATTCTCAGCCTGCCTTGCCCTTCCCTCTGCCACAGAATAAAAGCAGGTCTGGGGAATCTCTAACATGTTCTCACCTTGGAATTCTGACTCTGTAAGTGCATATTTCTGAAGAAGTACAAAATTAAACTCCCGAGGCCTGGCTCAGGTGCTCCGCCCCCTGGATATCCAGTCTGTGATCAGAGAACAAGACTCTCTCTGTCTCTAGAGGTTCTTGCTTAATCAGTAAAAAAATTATTTTGTTTTTTGCATAAGTAATTTGTAATTGTTTATACAGACATAGGCATGTAAAATTATAGCATGCTATATATATTTTCCCTCATCTTACTTTTTTCAGTTAACAAATACTTTATTTTCCTCTATTGACTCACACACAACAACTTGATTACTTTCAGCAGCTACAGAGCATTTCATTGCATGAACATATCATAATCATTTACTCAGATCCTAATAGAAATTTAGTATTCTATCATCACTGAATGTGGAAAACTGCTACAATACATAGCAGTTTTGGTTAAGCGCTGTTTCTCCCCTTTGCAAGACTATTTCTAGGGTAAGTCGTTGAATGCAGAATTTTTGGGCCAAAGGGAATGTGGTCAAATCGCTCTCCATGAGGACTGTGAGAATTTACACTCCCGTAAGCAGTATATGAGGAATTCCTGTTCCTCTACTTCCAATGTGTTGTGTTGGAACACGTTGTGTCTCTGACAAGTCGATCAATGCTCAGAAACAGGTGTCTTTTCAGTGTGATTCTGAATGTATATGGTTGGGCACTGAATGAGGTTGGGCACTTTCCTTTTCTTTGAATTGCTCCTGTTCTTTGTTCATTTCTCTATAGAGCGGCTGGTTTATTCTCTGTAGCAGGAACTTGTACTAGGAAAATGACCTCTTTATCTGTAAGAGGAGTGGAAGATTGTCTGTGTCCTTGTTTCTATCCTGACATTTCCATAGTGAGATGGGTTTTTTCATTTATTGTTGGTTTGTGTCAAACTGAGGTCTTTTTCTTTCAAGATTATTTTTAAATGCCTATGTTTTTAAAGAATTTTTGTGTTTTAAGTTTTTACTTTTAATGTTTCAATCTTTTATCCATCCAACTTATTTTGAAATCATGGAAGGGATGTATGTAACTTTTTAAATATAAAAGATGGCTTTCTATCTTTTATGGAACTATTAAATAATATTTATGGAAGAATTCGGTTTTTACCTGATCCCTTATTTGGATCCTCTGCATTCTTCCTATAAGTGAGGCCATCCAATAGTTTTTCTTTCTGGCTTATTGCACTGAGCATGATCCCTTCCAGCTCTACCCATGTTGCTGCAAAAGGCATGAGTTTATCTTTTTTGATTGCTGAGTAATATTCCACTGTGTATATATACCTCATCTTCTTGATCCAGTCATCTATTTTTGGGCATTTGGGTTGTTTCCATAGCTTACCTGTTGTAAACAGTGCTGTAATAAACATAGGGGTGCAGGTGTCCTTTTGGATTAATGTTTTTGTGTCCTCAGGGTAGATACCTAGGAGTGGAATTGCTGGATCATGTGGAAGCTCCATTTTTAGCAGGTTGAGGAACCTCCACACAGCTTTCCATAGAGGTTGCACCAGTTTGCACTCCCACCAGCAGTGCAGGAGAGTTCCTGTTTCACCATATCCTTGCCAACATCTGTTGTTGCTAGCTTTTTAATCTGTG